AGATGGACCCTGTTCCCGCTTGTTCCCTCACCAACCTCCCAAGCCTCTTAGGGACAGACAGAGTGGGGTAGCTGCCTCGGAAGACCACAGTGAGGTTGCTACCACTGGGGCACCTGCCTGAGGGCTCTCTCCAGCTGCCCACGGGGCAGGCCCTCGTCCTGGGGTGTGAGCCTGTGTCAGGGGGACCTGATGCCTGAAGTCCTAGCAGCACAGAAGGTGGTGTGTGTCGCTTCTAGCAGGAGGTATAGCCCACATCTCACCTGCACAGCAGCCACCTGAGATGTGACTCCCAGCAGTGCCGGGGCAGCTCCCAGGAGGGTGCGGGAGATGAGGGAGGTGTGGGGCTGCAGGGGCTATGCTGGCGGGTTCGGGAAGGAGGGACAGGAGCTCACGCTCATGTCATGTGTCCAGGCAGGTAGGGCGAGGCTGGCTGGGGCTAGAGGTCGTCCAGACAGTGAGGGGCTTGAGGTATAGCCCCTCCAATTGCTGTGAGAAATGGGGTGAGCTCAAGGTTGCTCCTGGAAAGAAAGTCTGAGATTTCCCCTCTTTGCCCCAAGAGAAGAGAGTTCCCGTGAGTGCCAGTGAGAAGATGCCATGGACTCCTCTTCCCCCTTCAGCATCAGATTTGCTGCCATTGTCTTGTTCTGGCCCCTCTGCAGACCCCGTGCCCAAGGGTTGGCCAGGACAGGACAGGAGTCAGCGCAGGCCAACAGTCTGGTCGAAGGTCCTGTCCAGGCCCTAATCCCAGCAGAGAAACCACAGGGCCTAGGGGTTTCCTGAGACCTGTTCCCACACCCGAGGCACATAGGGCCTCTTTTTAGATCAAGAAAACAACAACAAAACTATCCCCACCAGAGCGGGCTTCACTCGGCCCTAGGTTCATGCCCAGCCTTGCTGGTCCACAGCTTTCTCTGGCACCTCCCTCCATCCTTGCCAGCCCCTGCTGGGCACCGCTCACTGACACCAACTTCCACTTGGCTTGGAGGACTCCAGCTCACCCTGAAGACGGCGGTTCTGAGACCCACTCTGTCCCCACGTGGTGCTGACATGACACATGGACATTCCCACGGTTCTGGGCACTGAGGCCAGAGTGCCCCCAGCTCCTTCCTCTAAGGATGTGTGGTGTGGGCTCCTGTCCAAGGGGCAAGGTTCCAGTGAGGTTTTCCTTTTGGAAAGTTATTCAGGCCCCTTAAGCTTGGCCTCAGATGAGGGATGCAGGAGGGCGGACCCAGCTGGCAGCCCTTCCATCCCATCCTGCACTGAACTCAATGCTATCCAGAAGCAGGGACAGTGCTCACCTCCACGGGTGTTTCAGAGGGTGTGGGCTGAGACGCACAGGAGAGGACCTAGTCTGGGACAAACACTGGCTTTTACGACAGCCTGTGGCCAGGAGAAGAAGGGAGGGGTGAGTTCTAAGACAGGTTCCCCAGGGCCCAGCCACGGCCCACTCAGGTCAGCCAGCCTGAGGGCCTGGCTTCAAGGGGGTCTGAGGCCTTCGCATGAGGGCACAGGTGTCTGAGGCCAGCCAACCTGCAGAGCACCTGTTTCCTCGGCAGGGCTGAGGGAAGGAGCCCACAAGCGGGTTTCCGGAAATCACCCCAAGTTCAGGAGCCTCCACGGCCATGGAGGCTTCCAGAAACTGTTTCATTCTGGCCTGGGCCAACTTGGAAGTGGTGAGGAGCCAGGGGTGGACCTGATGTCCCTTCCCGGCCTGCGGTAGCGGGAGGTCCTAGGTCCAAGTCCAGACACCCAGAGTCACCGGAGGGGAAGCCCATGCTGAGTCAGGAAGCCTGGTCTCTGTGCCCGCCCTGCCCGAACCTCCATGTGTCATGTTAGCTGAGACAAGTCGCTTAACAAACTGGGACTTCGTTTCCACATCTGTGACAAGTGAGGCTCATCTGGGGCCCCCCCCCCCCCGAGGGTCTTCACCCTTCGGGGTGCAGAGAGCAAAGTCCGCTCTAGTGTGGCTCCTGTCCCCCCTGAGTAGGGAGGAGAGAGAGACTCAGGAAGCCAACTCTCTGATGGTTTTCGTTTGAATGCTGGATGCTGCTCAGGCTGCAGCCTCATTTTGTTTGAAAGACAGCCATGCTTGTCCGGATCCGGCTCTCTGTCCCTCCAGTGGAGTGTGAGTTCCTTCCAGAGGCCTAGGGAGAGGCCCCGAGAGGGGATGCTGGGCTCAGGCCGGCCGGCTGTGGCCTCCAATAACCCGCTGGTGTCCAGGGTGGGTTAACATGCTCAAGAGCTGCAAGGACTCCCTGTTCTGAATAACCACTCCTAAGATGTCAATGTTTCATTCTGACCCCACACACGTGCGCACGTGTGCACACACACACACCCAGGCGGCTGTGTGAGGCGGTCCCACCTCAGGCGGGTGTGGCGAAGTGGTCGGGGAGGGGTGAGCAGGCTGCCATGATGGTCCTCCGAACAGCAGGCTGTGGCTTCTTCCTGGGCCTGTGCTTCCTGTAGCTGCCTGTCCCCGGGGCTCCCTGTGGCTTGTACATACATGGTTGTGTGGCACACCCGCCCCTGCACCGTAACTGCCATCCTGCCGTGATGGTTCCGTCCCCGACGTCCTGCACCCGAGTGTTAGCTCTAGGCTCCGGTACTGTGTGCACCTGCGCCCTGTCCAGTTACAAATAAACGTGTTCCTCACTCAGCACCAGCGCGGGCCTCTGCTGTGCGTTATTTGCACATCGGGTCACGGGTGGCGGATCTTAGACTTGTCACAAAGGTTGAGAAGTTGGGCAAAATAGATCTTAGACATAAGTGTAAAACACAAAACGGTAACACTTCTAGACTTACCAAAATGCATCACTGAGAAAACAACTGGGAACCGGGAGAAGGTGTTTGTAAAGCAAGGTTAGGACAAAGGATTTGTATCCAGAATATATAAGAATACATGAGGCATCGTTATAACTCAGTAATAAAAAGGCAAACACACACACACACACACAAAAACAAACAAACAAAAAAAAAACAACAACAAAAAAAAAAAAAACGAGCAAAAACTGTTTGATCAATAAGCTCACAGCAATGTGCTTAGCATCCTCCGTCATCAGGAAAATACGATCGAAACCATACATAAAGGAAGTGAACTCTGGGTAAGGTAGACAATGTGTGTGAATCTTCACACCAACTTCCTTCACAGCCCACACGTCTCACCCGTGGCTCTTGTGTCACATGCCACGGCTGCCTAGGCAACGCCGTGCCAGCTTTATTCGTATCAGGCAAAAACCAAAAGAAAAAATTACCTGAGTGTTCACATCAGAGAAATGGGCACACCAGCTGTGGTCCGTCCTTGCATGGGATCCCAGTCAGCACTAAAAGGTCAGTGCCCCTCACAGCCCCGGGCTCTGGGGACGGGGCCCTGTCCAGGAGAAACTCGAGCCTGTGGGAACGAGAGCCAGAGGAGTGGACGATCGGCACCGGGAAGGAAGGCGAGAGACCCGGGGACGGTGGGACTGTTCCCTTGCTGGGTGACCGCGTGGCTACTGGGTTCGTGCGTTTGTCACAAGGGTGGACGTTTCCGCTGAAGGCTGATGAGCCTCCCTTTATGTTTTATCTAAAAATCAAAAAGTACCTAAAATAAAAAATGAGTTGACATTGATTGACACTGAGCCCGGAGTGCTCACAGTGGACTGTGACCGTGCCTTCTGTGTGTTCTGCGTGGACGCGTGGAGACGGAGGGCCAGGTCCCCACCAGCTGGGAGCAGGAGGTGCAGGTACAGACGAAGGCCCGTGGGTGCTGAGGATGGAATGGGAGGCCCAGCATGGACTCACGCTCCACATGGTCCCTGAGGGAACCCTGGCTCTCCTGTGCCCAGTCTCTAGGTCTCTGTGGCTTCAGATTGTCTCCCCACTCTCCCGAGAGGGCTGGGCCTTGGACAAGGACAGGACAGGACAGGGGCAGCTCTCTCCCCAGGCTGGAGTCTGCCCGGGTTTGTCTGCCATCCAGGGTGAGGTCTGGTGGGCAAGGGGATTGGTGGGTGGGTTTCCCACAGGGCTGCCCAGGGTGGAGTGTTGGTTGGTGTTAACTTCACCCTCTCAGTAAAAGTCTTGGACCTCAAAATTGGGGACAACCAGGAAAACAGCCAGCTCCTTGTCCTCCATGCTGTGGGCTCCCCTTCCCGGGTCTCAGTCTCCCTTCTGTGCAGGGAGAGTCTGGCAGGCACAGGTGTTGGATTAGAAAAATAAAAATGGAAGGGAGGGGGAGTGGGCAGGACACAAGCCCTCTGTTCCCCCAAACAGGTTCTGTGGGATGAACACAAGGGGGCACTGTGTGCACCCTGCCCATGGAAGGCGCTGCCACAGCTCCAGGGCCAGGCAGCATGCGGGCCCCAGGGTCTGCTGGGGTGCGGCCAGGTGACGTCATGCTCAGCTGGACTGACAGGAAGGAAATTCAAACCGATTTTGATGGCAGTGTTCCTGACTTCTGGGTCCCTCTGGACTGGAGAGACATGGCCCAGACATGGGTCTGTGTGGCACATAGTGGGTGTGGGGAGGCATTCACAGGTAATCCTACGTGCCAAGGGCCTGGGGTCTGAGTGCAGCCTCTGAACTCCCCAACCAGCCACACTGCTCTCCTAGAAAAGCATTTTATGTGTCAGCACTGCCATGCAGAACACTCACTGCATATAGTGAGGTGGGCCTTTCTGCGGGCAGCCCTCGTGGAGCCCCCGTGGCTTCCTTGTGCGGTGACCTGGCCCCACAGATGGCTGCTTTCATGCAGGGAACCCGTGGCGTGTGACCCAGAGGGCAGGCAGAGCCAGGGACCCGCCCAAGTGGGGCCTCAGCCGAGGCCCAGGGAGCTGCCAGGCGTGGAGCTGGGAGCCTGGGTGTGGCATGGTGCTCGATGGAAGCTTTGAAGAGCTCTGGCCAGGCCGCAGCCCTGGGCTGGCCGAGTGGGGTGAGTGCCCGGTGTGCCTCACGCCCTGGGGAAGACGCCTGGCTGAGGGCCGGTCCGCTGTGTGCGTTCCTGGCTCTGCTCCTGGGTCTGCAGCAGGTGGGATGGACGTGAGGGTGCAGGTGTGGCGTTCCCAGGAGTGCCAGCCCAGATGGACGCTTCCACGGCTCCCCCGCCCTTGGGTGCTGGGGTGGGTCAGCCCCGACACGTCAGCTCAGGTCCCCTGCTCAGTCTGGCTCCATAGAGCCCCCGGGCCGATGGCTGGTCTGAACGTGTCTCTCTTGTTCTTCTTGGCCACCATTGCCCTGTGCCAGGCGGCCAGGAGGGCGGCCAAGGCCCTGCTCCCCAAAGGTGCCTACGTCAGCTTCGCCCTGGGGGTGGCGGGCGCGGCCCAGCTGGGGACCTGCTGCCTGGAGATGCGGATGCTGGCAGAGCTGGGCCCCTGGGCCGGGGGCTTCGGGCCCGACCTGCTGCTGACCCTGCTGTTCCTGCTCTTCCTGGCACACGGGGCCACCTTTGACTGGGCCTCGGCCAACCCCACGGTGTCCCTGCAGGAGCTCCTCCTGGCTGAGGCCTCTCTGCCCGGCACTCTGCTCAAGCTGGCGGCCCAGGGGCTGGGCATGCAGGCGGCCTGCGCCCTGACCCGGCTGTACTGGGCCTGGGAGCTCAGCGACCTGCACGTCCTGCAGAACCTCATGGCTGAACACTGCAGCTCGGCCCTGCGCACAACCGTCACCCACGGCGCGCTGGTGGAAGGCACCTGCGCCTTCGTCTTCCATCTGGCCCTCCTCCGCCTCAGGAATAGCCTTCCCGTCTACAGAGTGCCAGCTGTGGCCCTGCTGGTCACCGTCAGCGCCTACACAGGTGAGACCTGGCGTTTCTCCCCTGCGTCTCCTCCGCACCTCTGCCTCGGCGGCTGCCGTACTGCCAGCAGCTGTGGGCAGGAAAGGGGCTGCCAGCTGAGGGGCCTGCGAGCCACAGACGCTGGGGAGGCCATTCCCTGGGAAGCGGGTGGTGGTGTGACCGATGGGGCTGGGCACGGCGTGGCAGGTGGGACCCCAGTTCCCCGTCAGGGCCTCCCTTCCTGGCTAGGCCTCCCCACACTCCGAGCTCCTTCCAGAAGCTGACCCAGCGGGAAGGCCCACTCACTATACGTGGTGAGTTCTGCATGGCAGCGTGGACACGGAAATGCTTGTCTAAGGAAGCAAGGTGGCTGGCTGGGGAGGTCAGGGGCAGATGGGCAGCCAGCCGTTTCTCCAGGGTGCGGCCCAGGCTCCAGGCTGCAAGCCCTGCATCTTGTCACCCCTTCCTAGGGTGCCGGGTCCTGTCCTTTCTTCCTCACCCAAGTCTCCACCTCCCTTGTCGGCACCAAGAGCCTACTGAGGTGGCAGCAGACACTCCATCCCGCTTTGGGGTCACTGCCCCCACCACTGACCAAATATGCCCAGGTGTGCTGGCTGGTCCCTCAGCCCCTGTGGGAGCCGCCCTGAGCCTCCCCCGGCCCTGCTCTGCGTTTGGTCCTTAGATGGAGGTCACCTATTCTGAGGTCCCCTGCCTGGGCCTGGCCCCAGTGTGGCAGGGCCTTTCCCACCTTCGTGGAAAAGCGAGAGCAAGTGACCACAGACCTTACTTCCCAGCTGTCCCTGAGTTGTGGACAGAGCTGGGCCAGGACGTGGAGGAGCCAGGCTGGGCCCTGAGGTCAGTGGGATTTGCCCCTAGGAGGGCCCTGCTGGGTTGCACACTCCCCCACCCCCCGGCACCAGGGATGGGGTCAGGGTAGGACAGCAGCGCCTCTCCGGGAGAGGCTGTGGTGCCCCTGTGCTGGGTGTGGACAGGAGCCCTGCACCTGTCAAGCTCCGTGGCAAGGGCGCCTATGGCCATGGCTGTGCTCAGGGCAGCTGTCAGGCTCCAGGCATGGGGAAGACACAGCAGGAAGGGGCTGAGGCCGAGCTCTCCAAGGTCTCCATTCCTGGGGTCCGCAGGGAGGGCAGAACCAGCTCTGAGGGCCCACTTTCCGTGTTGCTGACTGTGGCACCTTGGCCACCAATGGCCAGAAAGCTGCCACTGGGCCCCATGCACGGGTGGGGGGGTGGGGGGGTGGTGACAGTCGAGGCAGGGCTGAGCAGAGAGCTTGCCGGCACAGAGCTCTGCGGCCAGGTGGCCTGAACACTCCCCTGAGGTGGCACCCAGGAGCTCCTGCTGTCTGCACAGGACCCACCTAGGCTCCTCCTGCAGAGTCAGCACCACTGACCATGCCTGGCCTCCACCTGCAGGCTTCAGGCTCCCTGTCCACGAGGCCCAGACCTGCCCCGGGAGGCCCCTGCTCACTGGGGTCTGCCTGGCCTGGGGCTCAGGGACGCTGGCCCGGCTCTGGCTGCTCATCCAAATCTCCCCTCAGTCCTGGTGCTGCTATGTTCCACAGTCTTTGTCTCTGTCTGTCTGTCTGTCTTTATCTGCCTCCCTATCTTTCTGTTGGTTTCCCTGTCTGGGTGCCAAGAGCCCCCCTAGGCCAGGGCACAGTAGGATTCAGGGTGGAGATTTTGAAGAGTAGCTCTGGTCCAGGTAGGACCACGTGAGGCCTGTCTGTGCTTCCTCCACAGCTGGACCCCTCACATCTGCTTTCTTCAACCCCACCCTGGCCGCCTCAGTTACCTTCCACTGCTCAGGGCACACCTTGCTGGAGTATGCCCAGGTGTACTGGCTGGGCCCTCTGACAGGTAAGGGCTGGCGGGTGTCACTGGGGACCCCAGGAGCTCCCAGGGGCAGAGGCAGAGCTAGCCCTGGGCGGGGCTCATGGTTGGGGAACAGGCCACACAAACATCCTGGTAGGCCAGCCTGCAGGGTCCAGCTTTCTGATGGAGAGTCCATTCAGGGGCTGCTTTCTTTGGGAAGGGGAGGGAACCGGGTCAAGTTCCCAGGCTGTTGGCACCCACTCCCCCAGCCCAGGTCTGCAGGCCCCCCAGACCCAGGTCTACAATCCCCTGCCCCCATCCTGGGGGGGTGGGAGGGGTGCTCAGGTGTCTCAGGCTGCAAGAAACCCGAGGGCCCTATGACTGACACTCTGTCTCCTGCAGGGATGGTACTGGCCGTCCTGCTGTACCACGGCCACCTTCCCCGCCTTTTCCAGAGGAACCTGCTGTACGGTCAGAAGAACAAGTATCGAACCCCCAAAGGGAAGCCAGCCCCGGGGCCTGAAGGCGCCCAGACACCCACAGAGGGCTGCAGAGGCCAGGAGCCCAGGCAGAGGCGGGCGAGGCAGCAGCCACTGGGCTCCCTGTGGAGCTCCATGTGGAGGCCAGGCCCCTGGCTGAGGGGCATGAAACCCGCCCCCACTGCCTCCCCAGAAACCATCCGTCAATAAACCGCCCCAGCCCTGCCCGTCTCCCTGGCCTAGCAGAAGCCTCTGAAGAAGCGGAGGCTGGTCTTAGTCCCCCGCATAGTTTCACAAGGTCTGTCCCGCCTCTTCCTGGCAGAGTCAGAATCAAAGCCAAGACCGAGGAGGAAAGGCCAAAGTGCAGGCAGGCAGCCTGGGCCTGGGAAGACCCGAAGGCGGAGTCTCCCATAAAGGGCTCCTGGCTGCCCTGCACACGCCCCTGCACTGCGGCCCAAGGAGCTCCGAGTGGCTAGGACACCCTGAACTCTCCTGGGAGGTTATGGGTGGTGCCTGGAGCCTGAGGCTACAGGGGAGTGGGCCAGTCAAAGGGCCCCCAACCCCTTCATCCATCAGCACCCTGGACCTCAAGGCAGCAGGTCCTCAAAGCCAGGTTAACCCTTGCCAATCACAGGGCCTTCAGGGCAGAGATTCTCCCCCCTCCCCCCTCACTCCTCAGCCATTTCCTCCCCAGAGTGGATCTGGAATCTTTCACCCCAAGAGGCCAGAGGCCCCTCAGTTGGGGGTCCTGGAGCCCCATCCAGCCCAAGGCCCCACCCTGCCATCCAGCTGAGGACAGGAGGGAGAACCAAAGACAGGTCCTGGTCAACTTCTCCCTGGGACACCACCCAGGGAAGGTCCAGGAGAGAACCCCCACCCCATTTCCCATGGCTCCCCAACCCAGCCTGGCAGTGCGGCTGCTCTGTCTGAACCCCAGCCTCCTCCCCTCCTTGGAGTGGCCCCCGGAGAGTAAGGGAGCCGGGACACCTAGCATTAGGGCCTGAGAGCCAGCTGCGCGTCTTCCAGAAAGAGAGCCCCGAGCGAGTGCACGGGGTGGAGAGGGCCACCAGCCCCCCTCAGAGGAGGCCTGTGTGGACCAGCAGGCGGTGCTGGGGGAGGGCGGGCACTGCAGCAGCAGCACGCAGAGCAGAGGTGGAAGCCCCTGGAAGAAAGAGGGGTCCTCAGGCAGCACCAGGGCCCGAGGTGGGAGGCAGCTGGCAGGTCTGTCCCCAAGGTCCCTCTGGTCTCTGCACAACTGCTTCCAGGACAGAAACTGCTGATGCTCAGGCAGTAAACATCAGTAAATTAGTACAAAAAAAATGGGCATGTAGACATTGCAACAAAGCCTGTGAACCAGGAAATTATCAGGATGATTCGAGGAGCTAGAATTTCTATTTTAGATGCAATCAGTATGGTAAGCAATATCCATTAAGATTGGAAACACAAATTAAATTTAAGGAACTGCATTCAGTGGAAAAGAATACAATGTTCATATAAAGCTTTGATGAACCAATTACTGACATAGAAGTTAAAAGTTATTTTTTCTTTTTTAAAAAAATATGTTTTTATTGATTTCAGAGGAAGGGGGAGGGAGAGAGAGAGAAACATCAATGATGACGGAGAATCATTGATTGGCTGCCTCCTGCATGCCCCCCCACTGGGGACCGAGTCCACCACTCAGGCATGCGCCCTTGACCAGAACTGAACCAGGGACCCTTCAGTCCGCAGGCCGACACTCTATCCACTGAGCCAAACAGGCTAGGCAAAAGTTATTTTTTCCATATATTTGGAGATACAACAATACAATTACAAACACGTGTTTTCAATTATATGTAAATCATGAATCAGACTCTTGTATGATCCCCACATGAAGAGAAATATCAGGGGGAACATTAAAATGGCACTGTATAGATTTGCATTTCAAAACTGATTTGTATAGTGTTTTGTGTTTTTTTTTTTTGTCGTTGTTGTTCTGAGAATCAACTGCTCTAAATGTACTAAAACTTATGTTTCAAAATAATTTCACAGCCTGTAACATGCTCTGGGGAAATCTGTCATGTTCCCATCACAGAAAGAGCCTTCAGCCTTCTTGAAATTGATAATTGTCTGAATGATTTGCAACCATTACATTTGGCAAGAGTGGCTGGTGTTGCCTTTGATTAGCATTGCTGTGTTTGATGACCTAATTAATGAATCTGCAGAAAAGGAAGCCAGGAAAATCTCAGGATCCATCAAGAGCTCTCATTAACCAGGTGTTACCTATTGCGGTCCACGTTAAGTCACACCAGCCACGTGAGTTTACATTGTGGCCGCTCATGGACCATTGTAAGGCCTGTTCTGCTTGATTCGAGGGAAAAGCTTTCTGTTTTAGTCCCACCGTGGCCCCTTTTCCCACCTTTCGGGAGGTCTGCATTCTCGTTTTGCCCTGGGCCCCGCAACACATTCGGGCTTCACTCTCTCAGCTTTGGCCTGGTGTCTCCTCCTGCCCTGGTGCAGGTGAGCCCCCCGCTACCCCTGCACTGCAGCCAACGTGGCGAGAACACAGCAGGCATGCATGGGGGCCCAGACCAGCCCGAAGCTAACAGCCCAGATGGCCACCAGGCTGTGGCTGGTTGGTGGCTACATCGCTGCCTCTCTGTGCTTGAGGCAGGGGTGAAGCCAGGTGGGGGCGAAGTGCGTGTCCAGCGTCCAGTCCAACATCCCAGGCCCAGCTCCAGTCACCACATTGTCTAGCACCAGCGCCCAGCACCACTGCAGGACCAGGGACTCACGCAGGGACTGGGTGACCAGCACCCAGCTGGCTGCTGTCCACAAACCAGGCAGCACTTGGTCAATGAAGAGCTGCCCTCAGGATCTTGACCCTGGCAGTGGAATCACACAGCCCCTCAGGGGTTCCAAAGTCGGTGTCGGGGGACAGAGGCGCCCTGCTCAGGGATATGAGTATCAGCTTGCAGTCCCCTGCTGCTGTGCAACTGTACAGGCAAACAGTCAGGGTGACAAAGATTGTCCAGGACCCCTGACTACCCTTCCCTGCTCAAAGGTCTGGTCTTGCATTTGGAAGGAACCTTAGACGTCAAACAGTCACCCCTCCCCGGCCACCTCTGACCTCAGCCCCTGCCTGGCCACCCCCAAAAACAGCTGGAACTGAGGACTGTGGGCAGTTTAGAACTTGGCAGGGCAGGGCCTGAGGGCTGGCAGCTGCAGATCCTGCCAGCACAGCTTGACCCTGAGCCCAAGGGCCCCCTTGGCTCAGCCCGCTGCCACTGACTGCCATGGGACATGAACCCAGTCGTGGGCATCCAGCTGCCCTTCAATTCTCAGCACTCTCAGAGAGTGTCACCTGGCAGGGGGGCAAAGCCCACATCACTTGGAGGACAACAGGCCTCGCCCCAGCCACCCTGAAGAATCCTGTGAATGAGGCGGGAACGGTCTGGCCACTGTAACCTGGGGTACTGAGCACCGGCCATGGCCGAGGAGGCTCTTCTGTATGAAGGGCACAGTACCGCGTCCAGCACCTGACACTGCCCAGCAACCGTCCATGCGGGTCACTGAGCTGGTCGGCTACAGCCACAGCCGCCGGCCGGGACTCTGACTTGGGATCCGGCTCTGAGTGTCCCGCCTGTGACAGGGTGTGAGTGCGGCCCCGTGCGTGGCAGTTCTGCCTGTGGCTTCACAACCAGAAGCTGAGAGGGTGCCACACTGCAGCCTCCGCCCCCAAGATACCAGAGACTCGCTCCCTGGCCGGAGACGCGCCAGCCAGGCCAGGGAGCACAGAGCTCCGCCTGTCCGTGATGTGTGGTGTTTTGCCGTTCAGGCTCTGTCTTTTTTCACCTGGAATCCTGAACTTAGCTGCCGGTGTCTGCCCAGCAGGCTGCACGCCTACAGGTGTCTGTCCTAGAAGAATCACAATCCGCTGTGTGACTGGGGATGCTGACGAAGCCCCTGTCACCTCCCCGGGAGCGGCCGGATCCAGATGAACATGGTGTGGACGGGGTCAGTGGGTCTGAGGAACAGAAAGCTCTCAGAGAGGGTCATGAAAAGGTGGGAAGCACAGGAGACACTCCCCATGCCGCTGAGGGTGCTGTGCCAGGCCTCAGGGATCAGGAGTGGGCAGGGGGAGAGCATCCCTCACCCCACTCCCCACCATTTTCATCCCCGGATCTCCCTCTGCACCTGCTTGCTCCGCTTCTCACGTTCAATACCTGCACCAACAAGGGCAGCCCTGTCACCCTCGGTAAATGTGGTGTGCCCCCTGTAGCCCCCGGGAAGCTTGTGATGTTTGCCTGCCCCATCTCAGCGGTGCAGCGTGTGGCCAGACTAACCTCCTCAGAGACATACCTGAGACCATGAGGCCCCTGCTGGGAGCCACATGATACGTCCCTGTCACAGGTACCATATCGGAACCCCCTGCCTGCCTCGTCGTCCCTGGCAAGGACACGGGGAATGGCAAAGTCTTGTTGATCAGCCCCTCCCCATGTGGAGTGATTAGTATTTTTGGGGTCTACCACTGACAAAGTACTGAGGCCATAGGCTCAGTTCATCCCACCAACCCCTTCAGCTCCAGGTGAGGCCCCCCTCAGTTGGCAGGCCTCAGAGCCCCATCTTTCTCATTACTAATCCTGCTGTAACTGTGCCTGGGACCTGCTGACAAACACGTAACCGCTGTTCCTTTAAACACGTCAAAGGGTAGATTTCCTTGCCTGGGTTCCCTCCTATTCTCATCCAACCTTCCGTCTTAGAAACTTGGACTTGACTCTATGTGAACCAAATGCTTCTAGCTCAGGCCACCTCCTGGCTCACAGGAAAGCAAAGGCCCGACATCATCTCCCACAGGCCCAGATCCCCCAGCAAGGCCTGGATGGCTGCTCTTCAGAGGCTGCTCTTTGCTCAACGTTTTCCTAAGATGTGGCCCCACCCGACCCAGCGAGTAACATTGCCAACACCTTCCTGAGGATCTTTGGCCACAGCCTCGACACCGGTGACTGTTTCTGTTTCGTCAGAGCCATCGCCACTGGATGTCACAGATGGCGGCTATTTATCACATCCTTGTCAAGACTTCCTCATTTTCAAGCCCCCAAACCAACACCCCGAAACAGGCCGTTGCTGGGGCTCTCCCAGCGGGGCAAAGCCTCTCAAGTCTGAGGTAGAGCCACCACAGCATTTGACAGGGGACCTCCAGGGGCCTCCAGGCAAGTCCAGGGGCTGTTTCTCAGGGTCACTCAGATAGAAAGCAGCAGGCAGAATGGGTCCCTCTGTTTCCAGCGAGATGACGAGATCTCGGTTCTTGTCTTGAAGGAAGATTTCAGCCAAGAGACACCGTGCAGCAAAGCTAGAGTTTACTGGCAGCAGCAAAAACACACTGAGACAGGATGTGAAATGAAGGCTGGGACAGTGCCCCAGGGAGGAGCTGAGCACGGAGGAAGCCACAGGAGAGCTGAGGCTGGGCTGCTTTGGCTCCCTATGAGGTCAGAGAAAAGGGGGCCTTGGAGACAGGGTTGGGGGTAAGATTGGGATGAGCTGCCAATGCCCATTGCTCCCCTTGTCTCCTGGGGTCCCTTAGAGCAGCAGTTGCCAACCTTTCAGACCAGATGGACCGCTCTGTATCATGGGCATTGGCTCTAGTTACCTGGACAGGCCTGAGGTGTAGTCATGGTGACTGCGGCCTTAGAGGGAAGAAGAGAGAAGAGAGAGGTGACCCTTGTTGACCCAAGGTGACCCTTGGCACAGAGGATATTTATGTCTCTTGCAGGTGGGAATCTTAGGGGAGGGTCTCAATAAAATATTCATCAGCTTTCCAGGTGTGTCCTTACAGGGTCAGTGGTCTCCACTGACCAGTCAGCACCAGGGCAGGGGGTCATCGGTCACTGTAGCTGGTCCTGAGGCAGCCAAGGCGTAGCTTGTCTGGTGTTGCTGCTTTTTTGGGCCTGGAGCTGAAGGACAGCTGAGGCCTAGATGTTATCTCTGGGGAGGAAAGGGTCAGGGCCTAAGCTGCATGACCAGAGATACGCTAGGGGAGGGTGAAAGGTGGGGATAAGGTTCGTGTTTTCCCAGTTTTGCCCCTTGATGGGCACCTGGGGCTTTCTGCCCCGGCAACCTGGCTCTGCTCATGTCTGTCTGTCTGCCCACAAACGGGGTGGTTGGTGGGAGTGCCCACCTTGGCCCCTCATCCTCCCTGGCCCAGGAGTCACCCCCAGGAGTCCTGGCCAGGCCCTGCAGAGGGTCCTATGGGTCTGGCTCCTGGAGTCAGGCCAGCGAGAGGGCAGCTTCTTGTCCTTTGGGCCCCTGTGCTCTCCAGACTCCGAATCATGGGCATAGGCCTGAGGTGTAGTCATGTCTGGAGCCGTACCTTGTGAGACTGACCCTGGATCTGAGGGACCCCGGGGCGTAGACGGACCAAGAGAAGACAGCTGGGGAGAGAGGTGCCTGAACATGCACTCAGGGAGCCGGCTGGAGGATGCCCCTGGACCTCTGGAGGGCTATTCTGTGAGCAGACCCAGTGTCTGCACCCAGCACCCGGGCTCCCCACAGAGGCCAGCAATGCGACGGCAGGCTCAGGTGGAGGATGGGCAGCTGTGACGTACAAGTTCTCATGAATGGGTTCAGTGCCCTCATACAGGGACCCCGTGGAACTCCCTCACCCCTTCTGCTGCGTGAGGTCACAGCGAGAAAGCTGCTGTGAACCAGGAAGGGGTTCCCGCCAGAACCCGGCCATGCAGGCATCCTTCCCATGCCAGCTCCCCGGTGCCCGACTGTAAAAAATAATCTCCCTGGCCTGTTACGTTTTATCATGGGAATGGCCTAAGACCATCCCAGACCCTGCTCTGCCGACTATTGGAGGGCTTGCACCCCTCTCTCCACACCCTGCATTGCCTGCTCACGCCCTGGCCATGTTTCTGTTGACCATGTTACTTTTATGAAGTTGGTTTGGGTCATAGTGAAGATGCATATTCCCTTTGCTAATTTGGCAAAACTTTAATCGCAGCTGGACACAGCTGCGTGGGCACTCCCTGCCTTTTTGTGACCCAGAATCCTCTTTGGTGAGAGAACAGGTTGGATCAGTGTCCCTCAGCTCCACAGCATACACCACTGGAGAGGGATGTGTCACATCTCTACCCCCGCCCCCACCCAGACCCACTCTGCCAAGGAAAGGGGAGAAGACGATGGTGGGGCCTGGGGCTGAGGGGGTGTGAAGCAGGCTCCCCCCACCCTCCATCTTATCAACCTGGCTCAGCTCCTCCACCAGAAGCCCCACCCCCTTCTCTGCCAGGTGCTGGATGCAGGCCTAGGAGCAAGATGAGCAGCACGGGGGACAGCAACCCAGGCTTTTGCTCCAGGGCTTGAGGCACAGAGACCATGTAATCAGTTCCTATCAAGGATGGTGGCCCCTCCTAGAGGCTTGGGTCTGGTCTAGCCACCCTCAGGAAGCAGCCTGTTGTGCCCCAGCATTGCCCCCAGGCTGGGAGGCCTGGGCCTCTGGCACCTGATTCCCAAAAAGGATCAGTCCTGGAAGGTGACTCCAGGGGCTGCCCTTACCAGGGTGCTGAGGCAAGGTGGGGACACACAGTAGCTGAGCCCTGGTCCTCCCACAAGTTTGCCAACAGCCTGAGCCCAAGGCCCCTCTTCCTGGTCCCTTTCCAGGACCCGGTGGGAGAAACTTCACACACTACGGCACCTAGAGTTTCAGGCATCAGGCCTGAGCCTGCGGAGGGAGAGGGGACTTGTGCAGAGGGGACACTGTGGGTGGAGCTGAGGAGGTGGGGTGGGGAGGAAAGGGGCCTGAGCAGCACCCCCAAGGGTAAGGAAGGTGATCTCTTTGACTCTCTTCAAGAATCTAGTTAAACCTTTTAAAAAAAGAATTTATTTAAACTCATTTGACAACCGTGTCTCTTTAAATGGGACCCCGAGTGGAGACATGGTTGCCCTGCAGCCCTGGGACCTAGTTAGGTTTTGTTGCAGTGGTTGGAGGCTTTTGGAGACCCCGAACTTCAGTAGGCTTTGTATCTTGCTATGACCTGGAGGTAACAGAAGAAATAATGTCTTGGTTCTCTGTAACACCCTCTCCCGGTCTTCCAGTGCTCAGCGAGTGGAGGGTGGAGGTCAGAGTTCAACCTGGCCAAAACAGGGCCACTCTGCACCGCAGAGCTTGAGGGCTGGACAAGGGAGAGACCACCCGAGAAGCTGGGCTTTGAGGGAAAAGACCCGTGTGCTGGCAGTCCTTTAGTTTTTTGGTTAAATTCTATTTGCAGAGGCAAAGCCCTGACTCCGGGACCCATCATTCTGAGCCCGCACCCAAGTCAGGCTGCACTCAGGGAGGCTGCTTCTTGCAGACACTGTGGCAGCAGGAAGAGAGTGGTTCTGTGGGGGCCTGGATGCCCCCCGCCTCATGCTGCAGGGCTGTGCGGGGGCCCACTCCTGTGCCGCTCTCCTTCGCTGCCTCGCCCTGGGCGCCCAGGTCGGGATGGCCACAGGCAGGAACACCCCGCATCCTTCCCCAGAGAGGCCAGGGCCTGGCGAGGATGGCCCCCACCTCCTCCTGGAACTCCGTGGCCACAAAATAGTAGCAGACAGCGTCCAGGCAGCAGTTGGCGTTGGCAATGCGGGAGGCCACCTGCACAAAGGTGGCCACCGTCTGGATGGTGGGGCAGGCTGCGTTCACCCACTGGGCCACGAGCTTGGCCAGCAAGGCCACATGCAGTGGGAGGAAGCAGAGCATAAAGGTGGCCAAGTTGGCTGTCACCACGCAGAGGGCCTTGAGGATGGGGGTGGTGGCCTGGGGCTGTGCCCGCGTCCACTCACGGTGGAGGCGCCGGAGCACCCGGCCGGAGCAGAAGCTCAGGATGAGCAGTGGGAGCAAGAAGAGGAGCAGGGAGAAGATGAGGGCCCTGGGGCCCCGTGTGTGGCCCCGCCCAAAGCAGAAGCTCTCCCCTGGACGCAGCCAGGCAACAGGCAGGGCCACGGCCCCGACAACCAGCAGCCAGAGGGCTGCGCAGGTGAGGGCAGCCTGGCGGGGGCCTCGCCAAGCCTGGGCCCGCAGGGGAAAGTGCAGGGCGGCGTAGCGGTCGGCGGCGATGGCTGTGAGGAGCCACATGCTCATGTAGGTGTTGACGTAATAGAAGCTCTGCAGGACCTTGCACAGGGGGCCCTCCGGGGCCCCTACCCTCTGGCTCAGCGTGTGCAGAATGCCCGGCAGGCTCAGCAGCAGCAGGCAGTCGGCCACCACCAGGTTGACCATGTAGATGCGGGTCTCCGTCCACCTGCGCAGGCGGCAGCAGAACACCCAGAGCGCCAGGCTGTTGAGCAGCAGGCCCAGCACCAGGACCAGGCAGATGGAGGCAACGGTCGCCGCCTGCGACAGGGTGCCCCTGTCTGTGCTGCAGCTGTTGGAGTGGTTCCCAGGGCCTTCGGCCACAAGCACCATGGCTGGCAGCCTGAGAGGGCGGGAGGATGGTGGGAGCTTCAGCAGGCTGTTTCTCCTGGGGGCAGGGAGGGAAATGCTGCAGCCTCTCTCCCTTCTTCCTCCCCTCCTCTCCCCCGCCAGCTTTCTCTCCCTCCCCGCCACTTCCTGTGCCAGTCCCAGGCTCCCACACAACCTGGATCAGGGTGCCCCCTCTCCTAACCCACTAAAGCCCCTGAAGACGGTGGATAGCCAGCTGCCCCACCCTGCCCAGGGGCATCCTGCCAGGCAGGGGGCTCTGTAGGGGCTCTTCTCTGGGCCTCCTGACCTAGGCCAGGACCTTTAGCTCAGCTCAGGACCTTGGCTGACCTAGGCCCATACAAAGTAACCTTGTCCCCCAGGGCCATGTGGGCCTGTCCAGGCGTTACCCACCCACGGCCCCAGCAGTGGGGTCCACAGACTCATCTGGGAGGCAGAGCTGGCCCATGGTCCTTCCTCAAGAGCTCAGGACCTGCTGCTGCACTCAGGCATGGTCTCGGCCTGGGACTCACAAGGAGGCATGAGGGCCAGCTGACCCCCGCTTCTGGAAGCCCTCTTGGTGGCCACGAGGTGAGGGAGAGTGAAGGCCTGTTGTGGCCGGTGCTCAGTGGTTACAGTGTTGGCTCATGCATCAAAGGTCATCGGTTCGATTCCCAGTCAAGGGCACATATCTGATTGCAGGTTTGATCCCCAGCCTCTGCCAGGAGATCAAAAGCCTCCGGTCAGGAGATCCAGAGAAATGTGGGAGGCAACCATTCACTTTTTCTCTCACAAGATGTTTCTCTCCTTTCCCCTCCATCCCTCCCTCCCACTCTCTCTAAAGAGCAATGGAAAAATGTCCTCGGACGAGGAATAAATAAATACATTTCAGAGTGAGAGGCCTGACTGGGGCGTACTCACCAATATGGGAAGCCAGGGCCTTGAGGATCTGGGCTGCGGCCACTCTGCACACAGCCAGGCTGCACGGGCTGGATCCGGCCCCAAGGCTGTGGTCACCACCCTCATGCTCTCCTCCAGTGGGCGGGGCCCTGTCTCTGAGGTATCTGGCAGGTAGGCGGTACCTCCCAGAGCCTCCCTCCTGGCCTTCCTGTCCCCAGTACCCCTGCCTGCGGTGCATGACACCTTGCACACTCTTTCTTCCTGGCCGCAGCTCTGCAGCAGGGTGACCTGAGCTGCAGCAGGGCCTCCAGCCTCAAGCAGGCTCGCTTTGGCTGGGTAGTCCCCCCCCGCCCCCCGCCTGCCCCCAATACCTGTGATTGACATGGGCTGGGGAGCCCCGTACAGGAAGGCCCAGTGGTTTAGGGCTGGCAGCAAGCCAGCCACGTGCAGAACCCAGAGTCCCTAGGCCAGCATTCCCCATTGGCAGGGCCTCTAGTTTCAGAGGCCAATGGAGAGTGAGACAGGCCCACAGCTACACATGGGGCTCCGCGCACCTGTACTGTCAGGATGGGAAGGTGTAGTGAATGCTGTGGGGTGCTGCCTGGGGACCCTCTTCAGGTCAGAAGTGCACACTGCCTGCCCAAGGCCCCTGGAACTGCCTTTAGCAAGTGACTCTCAGAGGTCATGTATCCATCGGGTCGGCTCAGGTCACCTAGCCCAGAAACACCCTCTGCCCATCCTGCTTCACTCGCCCCTTCCAGGTGGGGCTGGGAAAAGAACTCTCAGGAAACCCCTGTGTGCAAATCTCCATCTCAAAGGGGCTCCAGCCCCCCCAGCGCAGGGTGTATCCTAGTGCAGGGGTGGCCTCACCCTTGCCACATCCCATGCTGCAGCCCTCAGGGGACCCAGGCCTGAGTGAGGGTAGGCCTGGAGCTGGTGGCCCAGGGGCTGGCGGAGGTGACAGTGAGAACCTGACCAGGCCGCCAGTAGGAGGAAAGGGCCATGTCTCCCGGGCCCTCCACTGAGGACCACCTGCAGGAGAGCAGGGGGAGAGGGAGCTTCCTCCATGAATTTCTGTGAGAGGTCATGGCTGCCTGCTGGTGGTACCCAGCAGGTGCCCGGGGGATGCTCCGAGGAACAGCCTGTCTCCCCAGACCTGGAGCTGGGTGGAGTGTCAGGCACTTCAGGTGGCGCTGAGTGGCAGAGCTCTGAGAGCCCGCAGTGGTTAGGGGAAGGGCACACAATGAGAAGAGGAACACGGTTGTTTAATCATTGTCACCTTAGTAACCATAGGTAGGCGGTTTTCTTACCAACCCTGGGGCCTTGGAGGATGTGCTGTAAGAAGAAAAACAGGCCTGGTAAAATATAAGAGACACCTTGGGACCCTGATGGGTCCATTGCTCAGAAAAGACAATGAATTTTGAGGACAGAGGACAGGGTGGACTTAGATTTGGTTGCTGTGCCTGGACCCTGACCCCCTCTGGGGGTCAGTTTGCCTCAGGAATGCTAACCATCCTCGGGTCCCAGGGTCCCAGGAATGGGCTGGGCTGGTTTTTAACATTGACAATTAACTACCTTATTATCGAACTTGAACATTCTGGAAGGAGACACAGACCACAGACCCTGCAGTCGTTCCACCGTCCTCCTTCCCCTTGCACGCAGCCTTTCGTCCTTATCCTAAGTGACCAGCCGGCTGGGAGGAGGTGCTGGGGCAGATGTCCATGGCTGACGGGCCGCTCTGCCATACTGCCGGCCACTTTGGAACCAACATTTACATATGAATTAACCCTGACTCTGCTTTGTTGGCTCAAGTCGTGACAGGCAGCCTGGACCCGTGAGTGTCCGGTTAGTGGTGCCCTCCATAAGAGGTGTGTGCCAGAGGGCATGTCTTCATGGTCAATGCTTTCCCAGTGGCAGGGGCTGAGGGGCACCCAGACTCCCAGGGGACAGGGTGCCGTCTAGACTCGCATGACACGGGGAGGCTGACACCTCTCTCCATGTGTGGGTTTTAGTGTGGTCTGACTTTCTGTATCTTCAGGTGGTCACTTTGGGGATGTGGGCAGCACTTTCCCGAAGTTAGCTGGACTCTGCATTACACCGCCTCCACCCCAAAAGGAGGGGCAGCTACAAGGGGGGTCCCTGTGACATAGGCAATTAGATGGGAGCAGAGTAGGAACAAGAGGCCAGGTACAGGTCACCACGCTGAAAGCCCTGGGTGCCTAGCAACGGTCAAAACGGGGAAAACAAGTGTTTTAGGCTAGAGCCTGATCCCCAGGATGACCTCTCTTCCCCTTTCATATCACCAGTCATGTGGTTTACACCCCCTTAGAAAAGGAACAAGGGGGGCGGAGAATAGCCTCATTTGACTCACATACAAGCCCTCTAACAGCCACTCCCTTAAGCATTCAGCCTTCCAGGACATTGAGGTTTAGAAAAAAAGCCTCGGGTCTGTTGGCCACAGAGACAAGCATTTTGATCAAACTAAAGATAACAGCCAGGCCCAGAAAAGCAGCAAAGCTAGATGAAGCACCCTGGCTGATCTCAGGACCGGCTGCAATGGCTAATGGCCACGACCCTGGCACCAGCCAAGATTGGTAGAGACCAGGACCTTGAAAGGACACACCTGGAAAGCTGGTGAATATTCTATTGAGATCCTTCCCCGAGACCTCCAAACCCTAAGGTGAAGGGCCCAGCCCTCTCCAGGACATTCTTCCCAGAGCAGTCTCTCTCTCTCTCTCCCCTCTCTCTCTCTCTCTCTCTCTCTCTCTCTCTCTCTCTCTCTCTCTCTCTCTCTCTCTCTCCCTCTCTCTTCTCTCTTCTGCACCTTTCCTCCACCTTCTTTCCCTCAAGGCACGTACTTTGCCTTTCTCTCTCCTCAGTTCCAACGGCCCTCCCTCTGCCTCTGTAACTCAGTTTCCTGAGTCCACACAGCCCGCCTGGCTCACTTCCTCTACCTCTGTGACTTCTAAATAAACTTCCCTTATAATCAGGGTTTTTGACTCTGAATTCTTTCCTGGCTGAACTCCAGGACCAAGGTCTAACTTCACCATTAAGACTGCAGTGTTCCTCCTCTAAAGACTGCCTTCTCCCCACACCACCTGAGCCCAGGCTATACCCCAGCAGGGACAGGAAGAGCCTGCTTGAAGCCAACTGCCTCAGAGGAGACTCACAGACCCTGGGCACCAGGCAGACAGGAGGCACAGACCCTTAGAAACAGTGGCATTGGGACTGCCCAGCAACACCTCGGTCTCTGTATGAACATTGTCGACCACTCGGATTCTGCATCAAACCCGGCTCTCCAATCAGAAGCACCTTGGTTCCGGGCAGTTCTCCAGGTCTTTCCCATGCCTGCATTTATACTCTGCAGCCAGCTTGACCTGCCCACTCCTTGGGGATCTCAGATGGCCCCCTCTTCCTGGTAGACACCTCACTCTTAGCTGACCATCCACACTTCCTTCGCCTGTTCCCAAGTGGTCTGGGTTGCCAAGCCCTCACCAGCCTACTCCCTCCAGACCCTCTCCAGAGTGACTGTGGCCTCATGCTGAATAGTGTCCCAAGCCAGATAAAATACCCCGGGAGTAATCCTAGCAGAGGAAGCATGAGCTTATGTGCTCCCACATTCTGGGCCCTAAGCTCCTGCTGATGCAGCCTCACAATGAATCCATTTTTCTTTCAGGTGCCTATTCCTTGCTAATTAGTAATGAAGTGGGTCCAGACCATGTACTGGGCTGATCTTAAGCTCTGAAGGGAGGGGAACTGGTGAGAGGCTCCCCACTTGGCCTGGCCCAGCCCAGAGGCCTGACTCTGGTGTAGGGCACCCGGAGTCTGTGGTTTATGATCAGTGCTCCTGTCAGTTCCTGGGATGCTCACCATTGGTGCCTCTGCTGCTTTTCTTATCATTCCCTTCAGGGGTCCCGTGAACGCCCAGCTGCCTGCACTGTGCTGGGGCCCCACCAGGCGGGAGGAAGATTGGAGAGCTGGGTTTGATGCAGCTATAGACTGGGAAGGAACTGCACCTCTAAGGGCCAGCAAGGTGGGCCCCTGAGCATCCATAGGAGGTGGACAGGTCCTTTGAGAGCCGAGTGCTTCCTCCGTGCCAGGAGAGCCTGCAGAGGCTCCAGAAAGGGCGGCTTTCCCCCTCCTGCTGCTTTAATTTCCTCCACCCGGTGAGGACCAGTCCAACCTGTGCAGGTATCACAGCCGCTGCCCCTCTGAGCACAGAGGAGCCTCCGAACCCTTAGCACAGGTTCCAGGAGGCTACTGCCACCTGGGCAGAGTTAAACTTCCGATCTGGTGCTCTTTTCTGGCCCACACTGGCCTCTGGCCGCCCCTCTCCTTAGTCTTAAATGCTGGGGCAGGGAGGGGGGATGGCACTGGAGCCAAGTACTAGGCCCAATTCTGCCTGTTTTCCTGATCCCCAGATCTGGAGAGGACAGGTCTAGACATCTCTATGAAGTCCGATAGCCTGTCAGCCCTCTAGGCAATTCCTTGGAAAATAAAACTCTCGAGGTTTAGGCTGATAGAAGTCAGAGACTGGAAACTGTCCCCAGAAGAGCAGGGCTGTGATGACAGTAGGCAGGGTTCGGGGGGCAGGGTGCACCTGGAGGACCAGAGTGGGGTGCAGACACATGGGGAGACTGGCTGGGATGGGGAGGGGTGGGGAGTTTGGGGAGCACAGGGTGGGGTGAGCGTGGACCCCATCCCTGAGCCAGGGGCCTGCGGGACTGCAGCAGCCTCACGACTATGAGGCCAACCCTGCCAGGACGAGGTCACCATTTGCATTCCTGTCACAGAGCTGGAGAGCAGGGCAGGGAGGTCGTTTGGTGCCCAAGGACATGCAGTGGGATGGGCGAGTTGGCCTTGGAACTCAGGCCCGCCCGGGACCAGCACCCACAGTAGCCTCTGGAAGCGCTGGTTGTTCCCACTTGAGTCTGGAGGCCAGAGGGCTCCAGGCTTTCCTGAGTGAAGCACGGGAGTGTGTCCCCTCAACAGACCCCGGCAATCTCCTCATGGTCCCACTCTCCCCACCTACTACATCTGAGCAGCCCTATGAGGGGCCCAGGGATCCTGGCCTGCCCAGCGGGAGGACACCAGGCTGCACACTGTACCAGACTTCAGAGGGAGAGCCCTAAAGAGTGACCAAGGAAGATGCCCCAGAGCTCACACCTCCCACCATGCAAACGTGGGTAGCGCATAACCCCTGTCAGGATCAGCCCCGGTGGACAGCTTTATTCTGATCTCAGAGAGGCAGCAGGACCCAGCAGGTATCCCCCCCACCCCAATGCCCACCAGGCTCTGGACACAGCAGGTGGGCAGGCTCATCCCAAAGTCCCTGGGGTGGCCTTGCTCAGGCCTCAGTCCTTTTGCCCTTGCCCCATCTGAATTCCATCTCAGGGATAGGGTTGTTAACTTCCAGGCTCCATGCCTGGGTCATCCCTGCCCAGCAGGCTTCTTAGAGAGTGTCCACGCCCATGGTGAGCTCAGGGCCCCATCCTGTGGCTCTTCACCACTAGTCACAGCCGCCCCCCTCCCCCCACCCCAGCAGGCAGCACCTCCTGGGGAGCCCTGGATCTGGTCCCCACACGCCTGGGTCGTCTCCTAGGCCAGAGTCACACACAGAGAGTCCTGGCTCTTGTGAGCCTTGGCGGAGGGCGCCCCGGCTAATGCGGATGCCTCCTGGAACTCCTTGGTCATGTAGTAGTAGCAGATGGCATCCAGGCAGCAATTGGCATCCGAGATCTTGCCAGTAATGCGGAGGGCGTCCTGAACGGCACAGGTGCTCAGGCCCATGGCCAACCACCAAGTCAGCACCACGTGCAAGGGCAGGAAGCAGACCACGAACACCACCAGGTTCGCCCAGATCATGAAGGCAGCCTTCCGGGTGGCCTCCGCCTGGCCCACATCGGCAGCTGGCCTCTGGCCCAGGGCAGTCACCACCTGCAGAGAGCAGAAGACCAGCACGGCCAGCGGCAGGTAGAAGCCCAACAGCGAGAAGACCACGGTTTGGGGGTTTTGCCGGGAGGTGTTCCCAAAGCAAAAGCCGCCCTCTTGATCCTTCAGGACCCAGCGAAGCAGCAGGGAGCCGACCACCAGCACCCAGAGCACCGCACACACGGCCCCGGCCTGCTTCGGGGAGCGGAGCCCGCGGCCGTACAGCGGGTGCCGCACCGCCACGTAGCGGTCCACAGCGATGGCCATGATCAGGCTGATGCTCATGTACCTGTTGGCCAGGTAGATGCCCTGGGAGAGCTGGCAGAACACCGTGTCTTCGTCGTTGGGCTGATTCAGGGAGGAGAGCATGAAGGGCAGAGAGCAGAGCAGGCAGAGGTCGGCCACGGCCAGGTTGACCATGTAGATGTGGGTCTCCGTCCACTTGCGCAGGCGGCAGCAGAACACCCAGAGCGCCAGGCCGTTGAGCAGCAGGCCCAGCACCAGCAGCAGGCCCAGGTAGGCGTGGCAGATGTGCTTGGCCAGCGGGGAGCTGGAGATGGGGCAGGTGCTGTTGTTCATGGTCCTGGGGCTGCAGGAAGGGAGCAGAGGTGAGGAGGGCGGCAGCACACGGAGCTCCGAGAATGGCAAGGCCCTGCCCATCTCTGGCCAGGGATGAGCCCCACCCCATATCCAAAACTCACTTTCCCAAAGAAGTCATAGAAACCAGAGGAGCTCTGAGGCCCCCACAAGCCAGACCCCTGCCCGCTAGAAGGTGGGAAAGCCAAGACCTTTGGAGCCGGGTGGGCCCAATGTGGCCCCGTGAGCCAGCCCAGGCCTGGAGCCAGTCCCTCGCACTCTCCAGAACCCTTCTCCCCCCGGGCCCTGCCATCTGCTGGGCCGGGAAGGAGAGGAGTCACTGCCCACCTCCAGTTCAGCCGATTCAGCTCTCAGGACAGGGCGCCTGGAAAGGGCCCTCTGAGGAGGGCCCAGGATGCAGCCTGCATGGCCTCTCCTCCCGCTTCCCAGACCTACATTTGACCCTCCTGCACCTCAACAGGGTGGTCAGCATGTATCCCACCTGGCCACTCCTGGCAGCAGAAGTCCAGACAGCAGGGGCTGTGGCTCAGGACAGCTCCCCAGAAAACTCCAGAAGTCTGGTCTTCCTCCTCCTTCCTGCCTGCCCTCCCTCCGAGTGTCCGCCCATCCGGTCCTGTTCCGAGGCCCCCCGCCCAGGCCCCATCTGGGATAGGGAGCCTCTTGAGTCTTTGTGGTCAGCACCCTGAGGGAGCTCTGCCCTCCAGGCCCAGACCGGCCTCACGGTGGCACTGGGCTACCTCCACCCCGTCATCGTCATCACCAGAAGCTCCCACACAGCCTCCCCTCCCCGTCTATGCTGACTTCTCACGCCCCTCCCCCCAAATGCCCCACCACGCGGGGCAGGAGACACAAGATCAGGGCCTGAGGATTCACCCTGCGCTGGGTCACCCTTGGACCCCCAGGGGGCTGCGCTGCTGGTGTCCATGGGGTGGGGTCATGGAGCATGTGATGAGGACCAGGGCAGCTTCCTCCTCCCACCCCAGGAACCCGGGCCCTCCAGGTGGGGAATGGGAGCAGGTCAGTTTGCGAAGAGGGTGGGTGGGGGGGGAGGAGCTGGGCCAGGCTGGGTGGGTTCTTTTCTCTTCTCTCCCCTCCATCCCCCACCACTTCCAGCAGGAAATACTCCGCATTTGCAGGGCAATTAGGTTCATTAGTGCCTCCGGCTGGGCCCCTGGGAGCCTCCAGACACAGACCATTAGAGAGGCCGTAGCAAGTTTCAGCCAGGAGCAGAAATATTCCACAAGTATGCCATCCCACCCCTTTTGCATTTTAAAATGGCACATTTGCCAGCAATTACAATTTCATGCATGCTTTTCCCGTATGTGACATCCCAACCCGCCCCGTGATCTCACTCCTCATTTTTGGAAGGATTCTTCCGTTGGTTCTTTCTGAGTCACCTCATTTTATCCAGATCCTGAGGTTCCTCAGACCATGAGCCAGGCCACGCTCTGTAGACACCCCAGAACCCACTAGAACCAGCCGTTGGGACCCTTCCTTCCTACCCACCCTGCCCTCCTAGCTACTTCCCACCCAGAAACCCTGGTGAGCTGCCAGGCCAGCTGTGTGAGGTGCTCCCACCCAGAACCCTCAGAACCTACCTGGGTCTACTCGTCTCTGTCCTCTGGAGTCATCCCAGGAAAGCTTGGGAAGTGAAGGCCTGGTTCCACCCAAATAGCCCAGCCCCAGCATGGGGACGTACGTCTAGGGCAGGGACCCCTGCCGGCCTCCTGCCCAGACATGCAGGACCGTCCCCTTTTACAGACACTGTGGTCGCCCTGAAGAAGTGCGTGCTCTGAGCACTCAGCTGCTAGGGGCCCTGGTGTATTCGGCCGGGGGAGGTGGGCATAGGAAAGGGGAGCAGGCTCAGCTTCCTCTTCAGTCTGCTTCCCACACAGGAAGCAGAAAGCCGCCTTGTGATTTGCACCAAGATGCCTGTGCAGTCAGCGTCAGAGAGACCTATGCGTGCACAGGGGCTGCCCTCCCACCGCCCAGCCCCTCTGTCTGCCAGCCCCAGGCACCCCACAGTCGGATCCGGGACAGACAGTGGTGCCTGGGCACTGTACAGGCCTCTGGAACTGGGACCCCACCTAGGATCCAGGACTGGCAAGTGTGAACGAAACAAAAGTTGCACAAAAGGCGAGGATAGAGGATGTGAAAATATACAAATGGAACATGACCCAGCCATAAAAAGGATGAAATGTTACCATTTGTGACAAGAGGGACGGATCTTGAGCATATCATGCTAAGGGAAATAAGCCAGACAGAAACGGACAAAGACCATGATTCCCTTCATATGTGGGACATAAAACAAAAAAGCAACAAACGAACAAAACAAACAAAAACAAACTCATAGATACAGACACCAGAATGGCAGTCACCAGCCAGGGCGGGAGGGGGAGGAGAGGTGCGTGGTGCTGGAAAGAGACGAGGCCCGGTGGGGAGCACACAGATAGAGCAGTGGCCGCCTGCGGCTCTTTGGCCCCTTGGGTGTGGCTCTTCCACAAAACACCACGGCCTGGGTGAGTCTGTTTTGAAGAAGTGGCATTAGAAGAAGTTTAAGTTTAAAAAATATGGCTCTCAAAAGAAATTTCAATCGTTGTCCTGTTACTATTTGTCCTGTTGACTAATGAGTTTGCTGACCACTGCACTAGAGTATACAAAAGTCGGATTATAACCTTGTGCCCCTGAAATTTACATAATGTTGTTAAACAACGGTAGGCCAATTAAAAAAGTTTCTAAAGGTTTCACAAAAAAGAGCTCACCAAACTGGCAACACAGAACGGAAATATTTTCTATCTAGTTTTTTAATGCTGGTCACACCCACAAGGTAGCTTTCAGTCTTGAATTCGGTGGGAGTCTAGGCCCTGGAGATACCTCGAGCTCCTCTGCACTGCAGCCCACCCTCATGGAGGGGGGTCCCCTTTCCAGACCTATCCCTCAGACCTCCTACATTAGGACACTCTCCAAGCCTCATCACAGCCCCGACCCCTCTCTGAGGCTCCCCACCACAGCCCTGGCCTGGCTCTGAGACCCCTGACCCGGAGGTTGGCACTGACCTGCAGTCAACCTCAGTTTCCCGGGCTGAGCCGTCTCCCCCACCCCTCAGGCTGCCTGACTGTGGCCCTCCTTAAGACAGATAAGGCAGCTGGTGTGCTGACAGGCTCCCCGCCTCTGCCCCAGCCCAGAGCTGCCTGGGGAATTTCCAGGAAGGGAAGTGGGACTGGGCACTATGTCGTCACCTCCAGACAGCACATGCACTTGCAGCACGGAAGGGTTCCCCCAGCAGAGGCATCTGTCCCAGCATCTCTGCCCCCACCCTCATCCTGGCAGGAGGGGCCTCCTGCTCACTGTACAGCACCCTCACATGCACAGGCACGCTGACGGGTGACCACCAAACAGCTGCTCAGACCGACTACCTACCTGCCGGCTGCTTTACCCGGCCTGCTCCTCCCCCTCTCCTCCTCAGAAGCCCCTTCCCAGGCCGCCCCTGCTCTGGTCTCTGCACTCTGAGCCCAGCGTAGGGAGCGTAGGGAGCGGGGAGCGGGCCTTCCTTTGGACCCTCTGCACCCTGAGGGCAGGGACGTTGTCTCCTCAGCTTCCCCCACCAATTGCCACCTGCAGCATTTCTCTCTCTCTCTCTACAGACTGCTGGGAGCCTTCTGGCCCCGCCCCTGTCCATTCACAGAGGGGGAGCTGAGGCCTGAGTAGGGAGTGGCCCGGCCTCCTGACCCTGGGACCAGTGCTCCTGCCCAGAGGCCCCTGAGGAGGGCCCCGTTTCACACCTCTTCTCCACAGTCTCCAGACCCAGGTCTGACGGATGGGAGTGGGGAGGTGTCCCTCCATGGACTCCTCCTGCCTCCCCTTTCCCTTTGTCTGGCCCCCTCCCAGCCCAGTTCTGACACCCTCTCCATCGTTTTTTTGTTTTGTTTTTTTGGTGTTTGTTTTTTTTCGTTTTTTTCATACAACTTGCCTTTTGTACAGTTGACTCTTGAACAACTTGTGTGTTAGAGGCAACAACCCCCACACAGTTGAAGATCCACATACAACAGTGACTTCCCCAAAAACTTAACTACTAGTAGTTTCCTGCGGACCAAAAGCCCTACTGATAACATGAAGTCAGTTAACATGTTAACTGCATTATGTTAACTGTATGTTGTATGCATTATATACTGTATTCTTACAATAAAGTAAGCTAGAGTGAAGAAGAATCATAAAGAAGAGAAAATACGATATTTATTAGAAAAAATCTGCGCCTAAGTGGGGCCACACAGTTCAAGAGTCAGCTGTAATAGTCCTTAGTCTTTGCTTGTGACTGGGATGCCGCCTGCCCTCGGACAGATCACCACCGGGCACAGAACAAACAGCACCTCAATAAAGAGTATTAACCAGTTGGTGGCCCTGACAACGGGAAGAATCTGTCCAGTGACCATGCCAAGGACCGAGCAGGGTTCCTGGCTCCAAGCAGGTGCCCCATAAACATTAGATGGCCGCAAGCTCAGAAACATCTGCCTGGCCCTCAATGGTTTGGCTCAGAGGATAGAGTGTCGGCTTGTGGACTCAAGGGTCCCAGGTTCGATTCTGATCAAGGGCATGTACCTTGGTTGTGGGCATATCCCTGGAGGTGGGTGGGGGAGGGGTGCAGGAGGCAGCTGATTGATGATTGATGTTTCTCTCTCTTCAATGTTTCTAATTCTCTCTCCTTCTCCCTTCCTCTCTGTAAAAAAATCAATAAAATACATTTAGAAGAAGAAGAAGAAGAAGAAGAAGAAGAAGAAGAAGAAGGAGGAGGAGGAGGAGGAGGAGGAGGAGGAGGAGGAGGAGGAGGAGGAGGAGGAGAAGAAGAAGAAGAAACACCTGCCTGGTGGGAGGGAGGACCTGCCCCTGAGCCTTCCCCAGGAGCCGGCTCCCTCCCCATGGCAGGCCAGCTTCCCAGAGTCTGAGAGGCCTGGCCATGCTGGGCAGGTGCTAGACCAGGCCCATCCCCTCACTCCTGGGCATCTCACAGCCACAGCAATGGTCCTCTGCCAGGGAGGATGGGCGAGGGCAGCCTCGATGCTGCTGCCAACATCCGCCAGGGGTTGGAGGCCTCCTCCCGTGCCTGCCACCCCTGCTGCAGTCTCAGAGCCCTGTCCTGTGTCCATCCTGACTGGCCTGGGAGAGTCCATGTGACAGGCTTGTGGGGGGAGTTAGCACAGATCTCAGGGAGGCTCCTCCAGCCCCATTCTCTGAATCCTTGGGGTCAGAGAGGAAAGGGCGGTTGGGCTGTGAGAGACAGCCATGAGCTACGTATGCATCACTGCCCTAGGTCCACGTGAACCCTAGAGGGAAGGGCCCCTGGGAAGCTGGGCTTCTCGGAAGGAGCCTGCTGGACGTGTTCTTGGGCCAGCCTAGCACACCCTGCTGCCAGCCCCGCCCTACAGCAGCCACCTCCCTCCCTTGAAAACCTGCCACCCTGCCACGGGGCTCCCTCCTGCCTGACCCCCTACATAGAAACCATCTTTGGCCTCTGAGACCCACACTCGGCTCATTCATTCATACACTCAGCAAAGGTGTCTGAGCAGGGAAGGTATCACTGAGGCTAAGGGTGGGCACAGGAGGGGCAGGGTTTGAGGGAGGCCCCCAGTGGCACACCCTCAGGGCCTGGCTGTGCCTGAGGTGCCCCTGGTCATGTAGGGTCATGAAAAGGTCCTGTGGGGAGTGCGAGAGCAGATGGGCCTGAGAGGTGCCTTTGGGGCTCCCTATCCTGGTCCAGACCCCCATCCTCACCCCACAGAGTCACAGACACACACAGGCCCAGTGAGGGGAGCTCCCATGGCACTGCCCTTCCCTGCTCCTTCTCAGGCCCCTCCCTCAACAGCTGCCGGAAGCACCTGTCACCCCAGACATCATGCCTCAAGGCATCCGGACACCTACAGATGACAGAGTGCCCCATCAGCCGGCTGCAGCAGCCCACCTTCCCGGGCACAGCTGGCGGGCCGCTGTGCAGCGAGACCACAGCCGGAGCTGGCAGAAGGCAGAGGAGGCTCTGCTGGGCGCTGACCACGAGCCCTGGCTACCCTGACAGACTCACCTGACAGCGGCTGTTCCCCTCCTCCTGGCTGGCTCCCCAGGACTGCTGGCTCCGGTTCTGCTCTGCGCCTGCACGAGCCCCCTGGGACCCCGCCCAGCAGCGGCCGAGGGGGGCCTGGGAGGCTGCTCGTTTCCCTGTCACATGGGCAAACGCCAGAGTCTCGACTCCTCCCAGCCTCTTGCTCTCTCCCTGCCCCTGCAGTGCTCCTCTACCCGCCCAGGCCTCCTTCCCTGGTCTCTACCTGAGGCTTCTCTGACTGGGAGGCTGGCCGCTGGCCCCACACCAGGTCCCGCTCCGGGACAGGCTGCCTTCCCGCAGGGCCTCAGACATCAAGCTGCCTGGTCTAGATCCTGGCCTCTGTCTGCGAGGCACCCCCCACTTCCAGGAGGCCATGCCCCTGCTCAAGAACCAGCTGGGCTCCCCACTGGGGAGACAGGAGTTGCCAGGCCTGCTCCTGGCGAGGCCCTCAGGCTGCAGGGGTGATGGTGGAGAGCCTGGGGTGTGATTGCATCTCACCGCTGCTTGCAAGTCAGATGTGGATCTCCAGCAGCTAGACCCAGAGCTGAAGGGCGTGTCTCCCTTTTCTAGGACATGTCTCTCTGTGAGGGGTTCCCAGCCCCACCCCTTCCGCCCCAAGGGCAGCAACCTCCAGCTTTGGCTGGTTTGAGCTAGTGTGGGGTAGACCCAAAAAAGTTATCTTACTCAGCAGCCTCTCGAGAAACACTTGCTGCGTTTTCATGTCCCCCTCTTTCCCCAAGACCGCTGGCCTCTGAACTCACTTCCCCTGGACATTGGGCAAGATGCCAGACAATAGAAATGTGAACACACTTCACAGGAAAGGCGATGTAAATGGTTCATTAAAGATATGAAAAGACCCCAACAGACTCACAAAAAGAGAAACAGAGAG